GTACAGGCCTGAATTTTTTTTCCGGTCTGATTTTCACTATTGCTCAAATAGTGCTTTACTGCGAAGGATCGTTCTCATATACGTCTCATAACCGCAGTTCACACATATGTTTCATATGTTTGTTGTTGTTTGATTTATCATCTACGGGTTTATGTCGAATTAATTTGATGGCCTGCTCCCAGTTGGCTTGTTAGCTCAATTGGTAGAGCGCTGCACTAGTATCGCAGAGGTCAGTGGTTCGAATCCCGTACAGGCCTGAAATTTTTTTCAGGTCTGATTTTCACTATTGCTCAAATAGTGCTTTACTGCGAAGGATCGTGCTCATATACGTCTCATAACCGCAGTTCACACATATGTTTCATATGTTTGTTGTTGTTTGATTTATCATCTACGGGTTTATGTCGAATTAATTTGATGGCCTGCTCCCAGTTGGCTTGTTAGCTCAATTGGTAGAGCGCTGCACTAGTATCGCAGAGGTCAGTGGTTCGAATCCCGTACAGGCCTGAAATTTTTTTCAGGTCTGATTTTCACTATTGCTCAAATAGTGCTTTACTGCGAAGGATCGTGCTCATATACGTCTCATAACCGCAGTTCACACATATGTTTCATATGTTTGTTGTTGTTTGATAGACGCCTTTATTTGAAAAATTCAAATGGGAAAAATATACCTGTAACACTTAGTGAAGTGTATTCAGAGTGCCTGCAGAGCACCTATACTATTAACACGTCTTACTTCCAGTCCATGAATATGTCTACTTTGTAAATATCATGCTTCACTGCTTCAGATTTATTTGATAACAAAAGTGAAGCGGAGACATACGCCTAGGACATCCCTTGATTTTTCACTTTGAGTTCAAATGGTTTAGAAGGGTAACTATATCTATATATTTATATCTCATTTTGAGCACTTTTGAGGCAATAAACAAAACGCTGCGAAAATATCACTCTGGGAAATCAGCCGTTACAACCGTCTTTATGCATGCGGGCTTTCTCGCTACTGGTGAAGGACAAACAAAAGGAAGCAAAATTCCTCAACAACTGAAAAAATAAGAATAATAAACTAACTAATAATCAACTCAGTTACGGTAAGACGTTAGTCAAGAGGTTGAAACTTCTTTGTTAAGAATGCTTTGTTAGAATTAAATTTAAGTTGGGATTTCCAGAAACCGGTGATGAAGTAACTCATCCGCCCATGGTCGTTCATCGGGATTCCTACAAAAGAAAATTGAGTCAGCAGCCACTTGCGGAGGAAGTCATCACGTTGCAAATTCGTGATGAAAGGAACTTGGGCATAACTAACATTTTCCCAAGCTGGATAACGTAAATAGATATTTTGACCCAAATTTCATTTCAACGGCAAACGTGTAAGGCTAATACGCAGGTCCAGTCATTCAAATTCTCCATCGTACCATTAACTAACGGTAACTACTTCTTATAGCGCAATCAACATGTACCGTCAGATTTTGCCTCACCATGCAGTACAATGTCAGGAGCCATTAGCAAGCTCCTGAGTTATGCCGTTCTGATCTGTTAAAATTGATACAAACCATGTCAATGTGGCCTTAATAAAATCCCTTCCATCCTGTGATACATCCTCTGGCAGAGTCGGCGTGGTTGGTTCAGATCCAATCTTAAAAATGGCCGCGGGCTCCTCAAGGTGACCCAGAGGAGGACGTCCGGTCAACATTTCCACGACCGTACAACCAACACCCCTGTATGAAAGAAGAACAAGACTTTCTTTGAAAGGAAATACGACAAGAGCATAGAAAGTGAATAGAAGCCAATGCCAACAAATTGCTCACTTTGGGAATCTAGCTTTCTCTTAAAGATGGCCGAGCAAGTGGAGGGCGAAAACAGTGGGGATAATTTTTCCAAACTCTTCACTGTTTTTTACAGTCTCTTACCAGGTTTTCTTCGCACGCCTTTTTGACAATCTCAGAAACACAAATGAAACAAACAAATTCTGTGGCTGACTTTAAAACCTACCAAATGTCAAATTTTCTTCCATATCCTTTTCCCCAAAACATCTCTGGTGCCATCCAGTAAGGAGTGCCAACATAAGAAAAAAGATTGGATTTACTTCCGATTTTCTGAAATAAATAAAGAAAAAATTTCGATAACGAGTATAAAAACTATAAGGAGAACATCATTTAGCAAAATACCACTTCCTTTTTAAATTCTTTCTCAGTAATGGACCCGATTAAAGGTGATAACAACTGAACGATCATTTCGTGTGTCTGAAGAAAATGAACTCCCCATATCAGTCTTTTTCCCATCCTTCGGTTATTCGAACCAGTTAGGGATTCCCAGGATTGACTGACTTATCGGGTGTACTTGCTGTATCATTATTCAGAGTTCACGTACTTCTATTTTAAATTCCTCCAGTTTCATCCTAACTTGAAGTTTGCTCGCAATTCTTAGTTGCCTATTGAATAATTCTTACAGCATACCACGGGTAGAACCACTGTTTACAAACGTTTTTAGTCGCTGGAAGGGATTTCATTAACTTAAAACGTCTGCATCTTACCTCAATCCATTTTGATAAACCAAAGTCAGCCAGTTTTATGTTCCCATGGAGATCAATCAGAACGTTTGATCCTTCGTGAAAAAAAGCGTAAATTCAGGGTTGCCTTATAATAACCATACTCACACAATCATTAAAAAATGCTCACTGAAGCTCAATTGATTAGATCGAGATAGATCACTCCTCAAGGGTCATTTCTTGAGCAACTCTAGCGTAGGACAGGTCAGATGGGATAGGTTTTCAAGCACTGAAAATGATGTATCCTTGATGCTATTTAGCGAATTTGAGAATATCATTGCAAAAATTGACGCGGAAAATAAGGAATTATATTTACTCGGTGATATCAACTGCAATTTGTTGCCTGAAGCAGTTTCAGTTAATTCTTCCTATCTGACAAACATTTTCGATACTTATGGTCTCAGTCAATTAATCACTGAACCAACACGTGTCACTCTGACCTCAAAAACTTTAATTGATTTATGCATAACAAACTCCCTAGAGAAGGTTACAAATTCTGGTGTTATTCACCTTGGCATAAGTGATCATTCTCTTGTTTTTTTGTCACGTAAGACTCACTACTGCCGTATTGGCCCACGCGTGATTGAAACACGACAATTTAAACACTTTAACAAAGAAAATTTCTTAATTGAACTCAATCAACTACCTTGGGACGATGTCGATTTGTTTTCTGATCCAAATGAAATGTGGCGTGTATGGAAAGAAATGTTCCTTTGCTGCGTCGATAAACATGCACCACGCAAATCGAAAAGAATTCGAAAAAAGCGATCTCCAAC